TATGTGCCAATGTCTGGCGGGAAGTGTTTGCCGACGTACGCGACGGGATTGTGGCATTATTTTTTCACAAGCACGTGATATTCGTCAAACCATCCTAACCTCCCATGATAATTTTGGTTCACGCCAAGTTAAGGGGGTGACTACATGACTACAAGAACACCCAAATCCTAAGCGGCTAGATAGATAGATACGCTCAAATTCGCCGAAGTTTGCTAAGAAATGCTTTGCATTTAAAACTATGTTAGGTACTCACATCTTTCGAAGGGTGGCGGCGAATATATTTTTACATTGACCGAGAGAAGAAGGTGGATGTCGACTTCGAGTCGTCACATGGGAATACGTAAAAGACTCTGTGACCTTTTTGTATGAAACAATGTTTCCTCTCTTCGTCTTTTTTCTTCTGCCTTCCGCTACACCTCAACACACTTTTCTCGTGTATATGACACTGATGTTGAGCGTGAAAATGTTAAAAAAGCGTATGTTGTCTCAGATTACAGCGTTAAGCACTGGGCAATGATTGTTTATTAACGTGAAAACCTTGAATACCTCACGCATCGGCGTCGTCGATGACGCGGTCAACACGATCAAGGAAAAACATCTCCGCCCAAGTGACGAAGTCAGCTTTTCACTTCATCATGGAACTCCTGTTGACAAAAATCTGTATAACTTCATCTGACATCTCAATGACGACATTACATCACGTCGTCGTTTGGCAGAAGCTAGGAACATCCTGTGGGCCAGTGAAAAAGAACGTTGTTTGTCAAAAGCGTTCGAAAGTGTGTATTGGGGAAGGATGGCATCCATGTAACCAAGCAAGAAAGAACGATTGCTTTTATGTTGTACTCACCTAAGGCAAGGTCATGAGCAAACATCTGTGTTTCCTCATGCACCATCAGTATTAAAATCCCAAAAATTAAGGCAGATCTACAAGTGAATGCTCATGGGTCAAAAACAGTGCATCGTATCATAAGCTGTGGTGTTATATTTTGTCCTGGTTAAAAAGATGATTTTGTTCTTAGTAACCTTTTATTCTCTCATATGCACTGACTGATCGGCGAATAAGTATTGGTGTTTTGACAGAGTTCTGGCATTTTATTTTGTTTGTTCTGGTTAACAGCTTTTTGTTTAACTTTTTGTTGGCAAAGGAAGTTTTCATTGGTTCCCATGTAGCCGCGCTACATCTGTTGTGGACGACGGACGGCAGCATACGGACATCGTGCGGTCTTAAAGCACTTTGACCACAACAAGAAACAGTTTATTTTTTTCGCGTTGTAGTCGTCTAAGCAAACTCATTAGCGGCTATCAGTTTTCGCTCATGTGGCATCGGCAATGGAAACTGAAAAATAACCACAATGTTACGAATAGGGGTGGAAGAAAAGAAATTAGAATACGTTAAAGTGAGAACTGTAGTGAAAAATAGATACACGCGGCAAAGACGCATACGCACCCAGCCAGGAAACTTACGTGAGAGGCACTTCTGTATACAACTTCATGACACGTGTAGAGAAACGGCATTTTGTTGCCTTTCCTGCTAGAGCGCATTACAGTCCGCGATTGCGCTTGTTGTGAAAGAAGGACGTTAAAATTGCTAATGCTGGTGCAACATTTGCAAGCCAAGTCTCTTCCACGGGAGCATAAAAGGTGGGACTTGGGTAGGTATTCGCACCATTGGATCTAAGGTGTGTTACTTCTAAACGCAGTAAGCCCATCTGCCTAAACGCCACATTGCGGTTTCTTTGGTGAGTTTTATATCAAATATTGCCAGCGGCTGCCAATACAGTTTACCTGATATGCTACCAAAAATGCACTTCTTTGTGGCGTGTTGCTTTGTGTTATTGAAAGTTACCATTTTGGAAAAATGTATTGTTCAATTTATGTTCACTCTTATGTGTTTCCCACCTCCTTGGCAATATAATGCTACCGTGTTCATTATTTTCTTGCTAAAATAGGATTTCAGGCCAATGCTGTGTTTTTGTGCGAAATATAACGTCTTAGCATAATATATATCCTCCAACTTATGCTCTGTATTCGATTATATTATATAATATCCATACCTGGAATAATTATGCCATCAGGTAAATATATTGCTATGATTCCCCTCTTACAGCACTCATAACAGTTCTCTACAGTGCCACTCGTTTGAAAGAACTGAAGTGATTTGTCCTTATACGTTTAGAATAAGTGCGAGAAACATGCGTTGATCTTAGAACGTCACACGAGAGATAGTAACGATAACATGTTTTTCTTGCCCTCTTTGCCACAGCACATCATACAACATGAAAACCTGTATGGAAAAAAACTTCTTGTTTGCTCTCTGCTCTCTTGTTTTTGCCAGCGTACAAGCCGTAAGTGCGCAAGGTAAGATATAACGCATCGACTTGTTGAAGATTGGTGGGGCTGACAATATACACCGTGAGCCAAAAAGTGAAAAAATGCTATGTGTTGTAACAGAGATAATTTGCGTCATAGCGTTTAACATGGATTAAGTTTAAACACAATGTTGTGCGTCAAGTTCCCGTCGACGTTCTATAAATACAGCAACGTATGGACTTTTGATTGCTTTTAGTAGTTTTTTCATGTTTTGTAATATACTCGGTGAAAACTTATCTTGACACTGGAGCAAAGCCTACGGAAAGTGGGCCTTCGCGTATTCGTGGTTCTCCACAAGTATTACGCCAGATTGCAGTCAATGTCAGTTTTGCTCTCTCGCATCGTTAACGAGTTTATGATATTCTTTACATCAATATCAGAATGGGAGGAACATTTTGATTCTCGAGTGTACAGTTGATTGCTATATAAGGGCGAGCTTTTTTCTTGAAGAACAAAACAGTGCTGTTGCAGCCGCACGCTGACCCATGAACGTCACGGGTGCCGTGATCACTTTCGAAAACGTGCGTGCTGAAAAGGCGGCGCTAAGAAAAAAAGGCATTCTTTGAAAGTGAACCATATCCTTTATTTTACCTAAGAATATCCTTAACTGTTTCAGTTTCACATTAAATAAAGCAGCACTTCTTACATATAGGCCAATAGAAATTATCAGTAAAGTTAGGTGCTTTTTTTTGTGAGGCGTGGTATCAAGTTCTTTCCGGTTCTGAAGCTTCATAGTGCCGTCAAGAAAAGTTGTCGCCGACTATAGAAGCCCTAGAGATCTCGCCCTTTGAGCAACTGCGCAGTGTTCCGTCATAGCTATAAATATGAAAGAAAATACAGAAGACAAATTAACTTTTGTGCATGTAATATTACGCATAATAGAAAAAAACAACGCATGCACGACCTAAAATCAGTAAAGAATTACATCGCATCGAAGTTAACCGGTACGCCAGGGCACACGCAAAGTACGGCGCAATCTCGTCTACTCTTAGGACCCATGATTTCCTTCCTTTTTAATACATAAGCGGCCTATTGAGCACTTTAAACGTCTGATGCTTCAGCATATTCCACAAAAGTTCTGTGTGTCACGCTGAAAACAGTGTTTGAATGATGCAGCGCCAGCGTGGTTTCTTTTTTGACCATTCAATTTTAACAAGGATACCGTAAATGATGTTTACAGGCAGTCGGGACTAGTAATTTTTACATTTCCTTGTGGGGGGCTTATTGAATAGCGTGTCGAATATATTATGTTTTTGAGGGTAAAATTTTTTTTAACAAGGTTCACTATATGGTTCAAATACATTAAAACAACTTTTGAATGTATTCAATGTGGAAAGTCCGTGAAACGTCGTAAAAAATTAGCTCGGCTATGCAGCATCTAAGTAGTGTGAGTTAAGGTGCTCCGCTGGGCGAGTAGCACGTTTAGCCTCCTTCTGTTTGTTCTCACGCTCAACCGCTACTTGCCAGGCAGCTACTTCGGGATCCGATGAGTTAAGCTTCTCCACTCTTTGCGTAGCTGAGCAGCAATTTCACCCTCCTCCTTGACTATACCACACTGACAAATGCTACATTATATCTACACTCCCACTGATACCTCTGCGCATGTACACACCCACTTATATGTACACCTCAACTGATACCTCTGTGAACCGTGTGACGTCACTGCTCCTCGCGCATGCGCAGCATTTGCTCTCCAGGAGCCACGCGAAGCTGCTCAACCTCAGCCAGTGTAGCTCACGCTAGAAAACTTCAGGAACAGTATTTTGGCATCAACCTACCTCATCACTGCATATTGTTTAATAACAATAAAATCAAGAACTAACGTCATAGAAGTTATAAAAAAGAAAAAAAAGTACTGCCTGAGGTATATTCTAATAAATGCGATGTAGAAGCGAAGAAAGTATAGTGGACAAAGAGGCGACATGCTGCTGGTAGATACCGAACCTAAATTGCAAATTAGCGTTGTGCGTCGGCGTTGACGTGGAACACGCGTTGCGCTGAAGCTGAATATAACTTCTGCGTATCTCTGAAAAAAAAGGTAGCTCAACCAAACGTATAGACAATCTTGTAAGTTCAAGGAGGTGGCAGCACCTGTCAGTGAGCATGGATTGAATTGCGGTGCCAAATTCCTTACGGAGCGCCTGAAAATATACCCGTAGTGCGAAGACGTTGCTAGATAGAACACCGCCACCGTACATGTACTACGTAAAATGCTCAAAGGTTTGACACATCAAATATGTAAGCACATGAGTGCAAAAATATTGTTAAAACCTAAAATAAAAATTATCATAACAAGACATTTTCCAAATAACGTAATTAAAATTTATAACAGGTGAATGATTGGGATGCACTCACAATAGCAAACGGCATGTTTGGGTTTTGAAATGAACCTTCCAGTTTTCCTTCATTGCTTTATTCATGTAGTGCAGTGCTCTTATTTTGTGAGACTATATAATTAAATGTCTCTGTCTCCAACTGAGTATTGGCTCCGAGGTTACCATAATGTAGATTCGGGATCAATAAGGTAGCCTTGATAACATATCTTCAACTGAAACAGGTGTATTGCTTGCCATAGAGATATTAATCTTGCGCTCCTTTTTTTTTTCACCGACAGATAAATGTGACTTCGCTGATGTTGACACCAAGGAGATGGTAGGGAATGTCTTGCGGAAGCTGCCACATTTGTATACAGTACCAAACATGAAACCAGTGGAAATTTTTCTCGGAATTACCTTTGGCCCTGTTCAGTTGAAAGGTGCGGACATTTTTAAACTTTATGGTCCCGTGTCAAAATACTGCCGTAACGGAGCCAGGCTCGTGCAAGTCGACATCATAGCTGACCGCCCCATCGACTTCTTCACACCCTGGAAAATATGCAGTGGAAAGGAGGGCATTCTTGGAGTTCAAGGAACTGCCAGAGTCACGGTCACCTTTGAGGTAACTCCCAAAGCTTAGACTGTCGTTTTTTTCTTTGTTTTTTTTGCCATACGCTGTTGTAATACACACCATAATCTTCACATACATAATCATTATTACCAACCATTATAGTTTCACTATAAGTGAATGGTTGATGCTACGATGTTAATGTTACTCTTTGTCATGTCAGCTGATTTCTTTTTCTGTCTTCGAAGAAGTTAAACTCATGTTCATTTGCACTAAAAGGCGAATATTTAGCGAGGCTGTGGGGTGTAGGTAACTGACGCCTATGTCATTTTTTCCCGCTAAGGAATATCAACTTTAGCAAAGCAAAAACTAACTATATAGCCCTGTTGACTTTATTAAAATTACTGCGTCGAACGAGCACAATCATACCAACAGTACCACCGTCATCAGGAGCTGCGTTTGCATTCCTTGCTATTAATTGCTTCGTTCTAGAACCATGGGTGGTAAAAATTTGCGGGCACTTTCACCACGATATCCTAGCTGCTTATAATATCGGCATTTAAAACTTAAACCTTGAATAAATAATATTTCATTCGCACTTGTTTTTCGTGGCCGATCCGTCTCACGCGTTCCGTGACCAGCCAACGGTCACTTACTTACTCCTTATGGTAACAGCTATTACAGCCCTACCTGTTAATTTCCTTATTCACTCTGCTCCCTCTATATCTCTTAAGATAATGCCTATCGTATTGCGAAAATGTACCTCATTATTATTGATGAGGTTTGACGTCCCAAAACCACGATATGAATATAAATGACGCCATAGTGGAGAGCTCCGGGAATTTCGACTCGCTGGGGTTCTTCAAACTGGCCCTAAATCTAGTAGACGGGCCTCAAGAATTTTCGCCACCCTCAAATAAAGTGCAAAGAAAACGTGCAGGTGAGGGGCACCACTGGCTTCAGGTGTTGGTGTTGTCATGTTATCGGTGGTAGTGTTGGGAGTAAATTTTGTACCATAGCTACTGCTGTAAGTGGTACAGTGTTTCCTGTTGCCACAATACATAGCATGATTACACATAACTTTGACAGCTGACCTGAAGGTTGCGCACTTGAATCCCAGCTGCAGTGGCCACATTTCGAAGGAGGTGAAACAGTGGTGTCCCGGGTACTTAGATTTATGCACTCGTTAAGGAACACCTTACGGTCAAACTTTAAAGAGTCCTCCACTACAGCATTCCTTATAATCGTATAGCGGGTTTGCGAAATAAACCCCCAACAATTATTATACAGTGACACCTCGGCTAAAGTGTGATTGGCTTTTTGGTATAAATCTCTCTCAGTCTTAGCCACTATGGATATATTTGCGATACAAATCTCAAGGAAATATTAAAAATGTTTGTATCATCTGACATTGCTTTTGCTTTTGTACGAACTTTTTTTCCTTTTTTGCCACTTTCTATAACTAGAAATAATTCGCTTCTTACCTTCCCTCCTTCATTTTACGTTATTAGGCTTACCGTTGATGTAATTACTAATAGTTATAGCTGACTCCCGTCTGAGGGCCACTGTTTTCTTCTAAGTCTATTTACCAGAGGGATTTTTTATTTACTACCCCAAAACGTCAGCAAAATAGGATACAGCGTTTCAGGCAGGACCTGTCTATTTTTTAGCTGTCATAACTTTTCGCGTGTAATTTCCTGCACTCCCACCTACCCGTGACGTATACGCTCAACGTAAGAATCACATGGAAGTAAGTAGCTGATAAGTCGTAAAACAGGTGCGCGCAACTCAGTCAGTTTACAGAAACGCCAAAATAGGGATACGACCACTTGAAATCAGCAAAACTTCGACATTGCGGGCACTTTGAAACCAACCATGTCAACATCGAGCGAGACAGAAAGAAGTTAGGAGAAATCAAACGCGTGGAAAGAAGGGTCATTCAATGCGCTAATTCGGCATAAACTGGCAAGGTAAGATGTTCGAAACCACACAGGCTGTGTGTTTTTTAAATAGGAAAATTGGATGTTTAGACATATAGAAAAAAACGTGAAGCGAGCTACGAGGCAGGTGAAGTCGGGAGCTTTAGGCGGTCAGGTTGCTAATAAAGGCACATTGCTAATAATGTGCAACAGACCATCTACTCAGAGATAGCACAGCAGCCAAGCATGCCGTGACGAAATTCGGTTCGAATAGAGATGTCGAACCATTCCCAATTCTCTATGTACTCAAGATATGTGAGGAAAGAATCGTTAAAAAAACAGAGAGAGGTCTGGGGTGCGGCCTTACCGGCGACCATCTGCCGGTAATGCACTCCCTCACCAGCCTAGGATCGGCCACCCTGGTGCAGTACCTGGCCACAACCTCCCATGAACACAGCGATTAACCCTTGGCCCTCAGTCCCCACCAGCTGCGAAGGAACTGTCCAAGGCGGCGGTCAGACCTAGCTGTGACGCAGCGGAGGGTGCAAGAAATCCCTTTGTACGGACAGGCCGCCATTGGAATTGGAATCTGAACATGGCTACCTTCAACACTGGAACGCTATCTAGTGAGGCTACTCTAGCTGTGCTATTCGAGGAATTAGTGGGTGTTAAATGGGATGTAGTAGTGCTCAGCGAAGTTAGGAGGACACGTGAGGCTTATACAGTGCTGAAGAACGGACATGTCATATGCTACCAAGGATTAGTTGACAAAAAAGAACTAGGAGTGGGGTTTCTCATACAGAAGAACGTCGCTGGCAACATAGAAGAATACTGTAGCATCAGTGAGAGGGTGGCAAGTAATATAGTTAGGTTCAACAAAAGTTACAAGATAAAAGTAGTACAGACCTACGGGCCTACATTGAGCCATATTGATCATTTGGTTGAACGCTTTTACGAAGACATAGAGTCAGCCTTTAATAAAGTAAAGACACAGTATACTATTCTCATGGGTGACTTTATAGCCAAAGTAGCCAAGAAACAGGCCGGAGACCATGCAGTAGGGAATATAGCATCAGCTCTAGAAATGCCAGAGGGCAGTTATTAGTGCAGTTCACAGGACGTAATAATTTACTGCTTATGAATACCATCTTCAGAAAACGGGCTAACCGTAGGTGGACGTGGTGCAACCCTAATGGTGAAACTATAAATGAAATTGGCTTCATTCTGTGTGCACACTCAGACACTTACAAGATGTAGGAAGTAGTTGGCAAGATTAGATGCAGTGACCATATAATGATATGAGCTCGTATTCACCTAAATTTAAAAAAGCAAAGACAAAAAATTATGCGCAATAAACCAATAATGAACTGTCGGTGAGAGAAAAAATACAGGAATTTGGAGTTTCGCTTCAGAATCAATTCGAGGCACTAATTGAGATAACCATTGTTAGTGTTGACGCAATGAATGATAATCTTACTAGTATCATCAAAGAGTGTGCAACTGAAGTTGGAGGTTCAGTCACTAAACGAGAAAGTGGCAACCTATCTCAAGAGACGAAAAATCCTATCAAGAGACGAGAAATGATGAGAGCCTCAAATGCAACCAACAAGATAGAGCTAGTGGAGCTTTCGAAGTTAATCAATAGGCATAAAGTAGGTGAAATCAGGAGGTATAACATGGAAAGAATTGAGCAGGCTGTAAAAAGCGCCAGAAGCCTAAAAGCTGCGAAGGCAGACTTGTGCATAGGCAAAAATCGGATGTATGCAATGAGAAACAAGGAAGGCAATGTCATAACCAATATAAATTGGTGCCCCGCCGCGGTGGTCTAGTGGCTAAGGTACTCGGTTGCTGACCCGCAGGGCACGGGTTCGAATCCCGGCTGCGGCGGCTGCATTTCCGATAGAGGCGGAAATGTTGTAGGCCCGTGTACTCTGATTTGGGTGCACGTTAAAGAACCCCAGGTGGTCTAAATTTCCAGAGCCCTCCACTACGGCGTCTCTCATAATCATGTAGTGGTTTTGGGACGTTAAACCCCACATATCAATCAATCAATATAAATTGGGTAGTCAAGATGGCAGAGGAGTTCTACAGAGAGCTGTACAGAAGTCTAAAGAAGCGGGATGGTATTGTGAGGAACTATAATAGTTTAAGAGAATTCGACATCCTACAAGTAATGACAGGGGAAGTAAGGAAAGCCCTAGAAAGAATGCAAAGAGGCAAAGCCGCTGGGGAGGATAAAGTAACAATGGACCTTCTGAAAGATGGCAGGGAAATTGTGTTAGAAAAAATTAGCCACCTTATATACAAAGTGTCTCTTGACGGGAAGGGTACCAGAATCTTGGAAGAACGCCAAAATCATCTTAATTCATAAGAAAGGAGACGACAGGGACTTGAAAATTACAGACCGATCAGCTTACTCTCCATTTTCTACGAACTATTTACATAAATAATAGCCAATTGAATCAGGATGATATTAGAATTCAATCAGCCAAAGGACCAAGCAGAAATTCGTACCAGCTACTCCACTATAGACCATATTCATGCCGTCAATCAGGTAATAGAGAAATGCGCTGATTACAACCAACCCCTATACATAGCTTTCATAGATTACAAGAAGGCGTTTGACTCAGTCGAGACATCAGCAGTAATGCAGGCACTACGGAATCAGGGCATCGAATAACCCTACATAAACATACTGGGATAAATGTACAGAGGATACAAAGCCACTATAGTTCTCCATAAAAAAGCGGAAAGAATCCCAATGAAGAATGTTGTAAGAAAGGGAGACACGATCTCTTCAATGCTATTCACCGCGTGGTTACAGGAGGTATTCAGGACCGTAGACTAGGAAGAGTTAGGGATAGGAGTTAATGGAGAGTGCCTTATTAACCTGCCATTCACTGATGACGTTGCCTTCATGAGTAACTCTGGGGACGAATACAGTTCATGATTACTGAACTGGACGCCAAAGCAGAAAAGTAGGTCTGAAAATCAATATGCACAAACTAAAGTAATGTGCAACAATCTTGGCCAAAAACAGCACTTTGCGACACATGGAGAGACGCTAGAAGTTCTAAAGAAATATGTCTACTTAGGACACGTAATAACCGCGGAGCCGAACCACTAGATTGAAGACTCTAGATGAGTAAGAATGGGGAGAGCACATTTGCAAGCACTCTCAATTTATGACTGGTAGATTGCCACTATCCCTCAAGGGAGAGGTATACAACAGCTGCATCTTGCCAGTTCTTACCTACGGAGCAGAAACCTGGAGGCTTACAAAGAGGGTTCAGCTTAAATTGAGGACGGTGCAGCGAGTGATGGAAAGGGAAATGATATGTGTAACCTTAAGAGACAACAAGAAAAGAGCAGAGTGGGTCAGGGAACAAATTGGGGTTAAGGATATCATAGTTTAAACAAAAAAAAGAAAATGTCATTGGCAGGACACGTAGCGCGTAGGCAGGATAACCGGTGGTCATTCAGGGTAACTGGCTGGATTCATAGAGTAGGCAAGCACATGGAGGGGATTTGATAGAATGATATGTAGGGTTTAACGTCCCAAAACCACCATATGATTATGAGAGACGCCGTAGTGGAGGGCTCCGGAAATTTCGACCAAATGGTGTTCTTTAACGTTCACCAAAATCTGAGCACATGGGCCTGCAGCGTTTCCGCCTCCATCGAAAATGCAGGCGCCACCGCCGAGATTACATCCCGCGACCAGCGGGTCAGCAGCCGAGTACCTTAGCCACTAGACCACCGCGGTGGGGCAAACGCATGAAGGGGAGACAGAAAGGTAGGTGGGTCGATGAGATCAAAAAAGTTTGCGGGTATAACGTGGCAACGAAAATTGATTGATTGATATGTGGGGTTTAACGTCCTAAAACCACCTTATGATTATGAGAGACGCCGTAGTGGAGGGCTCCGGAAATTTAGACCACCTGGGGTTCTTTAACATGCACTCAAATCTGAGCACACGGGCCTACAACATTTCCGCCTCCATCGGAAATGCCGCCGCCGCCGGGATTCGATCCCGCGACCTGCGGGTCAGCAGCCGGGTACCTTAGGTACTAGACCAGTGCGGCGGGGCGTGACAACGGAAAGCACAAGACCGGGTTGATTGGCGAATCATGGGAGAGGCCTTTGACCGGCAGTGGGCGTAGTCAGACTGATGATAATGATGATGATGATGATGCAGATGATGATGATTATAACATATCGCCACATTCGTGCGGCCATAAAGCAAGAAGGATTACTGCAAAACTTTGCATGAAGATAGAATGGCCTAAAAAAGATCTTGCTTGCGTGTGGTTTTAAAAGACAGACCTGGTATTGTTCTCCCATTTCATGCATGAAGACGTCTTCTTTGATGTCACAACAACATTTACCCAGGTGTGACTGGCTTGGATAGTTCTTTAATTTCTTGGCGTGAATTCCACCACTGTCTCCATTGAAAATTGCCCCGTGACAACAGGAATTCTCTTTTCCTGCTGCAATGCTACGAAATGAGATCAGAAAAGAAGCATAACCTATGAAAAACTACTAGCGGCGAAGCTGTTCTTGGTCGGCTCGCTCATGTCCGGGATCCACTGTGACGCTTGTGAAGCTTATAAACGAGAGCTCGGGTAAATCTCACAGACATTGACTAAATCCCACTACTCACAACTAGTCTATTGAAATTTAAGGCAACAATAAAACCAACAAACAGACATGTTTCACAGAGATCTGTGCAGTGTGTCAAAAAACTATCATCCTCAACCGATACCTGCCACAGAAATTGTTTCCCTACGGACAACATCCACAAAAAGGAAAAATGCAACATATGGCGATCAGGTTACCATAGTGACGCCATCGTCCTGGGATACTCCCTGGTTATTCAAGGTGGTAGCTGTACACCACGTCAAAGCTCAAATAAGACTTTTTAATAAATGACAGTATTACAACATATCTGAAAGACTTGCAAAACAGAGATGCATTAGCCTGACAAAAAAATTGGTTCCAAATCTGCATGTTACACCGCAAATGTACTCGAAAGACGACAGTCTTGCGTCTGGAGAGAGTGAACAAAACGTTTATTTGATGTTCTGCGCAAAAAAATCGGTGAAGGGTATTGTGGAGGCGCTGCGTAAAAGTGCCTCGAGCGTGTAGCGGAGGCGAATGAGTGCATCGAGGCACGTTAGACACAAGCGCCATTTGGCAGTTATCTTCCAAAACGAAGGCGTGCAGCCTGCGGAGAAAGATGCGCATCAGTCTCGGAGGTGATAAGGTGTATAACGCAAAGCGATGGGCAGGTGCCACCACCGTGACGTCGTAGCAAAGCGTTGGAGACAACTTTTTGAGCATCGCGTTGCACTGTCAGCACAGCGCGCTAAAATGCTACATTCCTTAGAGTTACTTGTGTGTGCCTCTTCTAGTGTAAAGGCAGACATATAAAACTTCGAAGTGCTGTTATGTTGCCTCAGATATGCGCGAAAATTGCTTTTTAATTGACAATCGCACAACTATGAACACTACACCTTGAATAATATTGGTGGGCGCTGCGAATGGGGTTGGCCGCTCGATGCCGTTTTAGGTATCGTTAGGGTGGACAAACAGACAAATGTACAGACAGACAGACAGACAGACAGACAGACAGACAGACAGACAGACAGACGACCAAAATTTTTCCATCGAAGGTCCCCAAGAAAGAATATAGTCTTTAATATCGTCTTTAAAAGAATGCCGCCAGCTGCAGTGTTTAAACGGTGTCCGCTAAGCGGAGCTCCTTAGGTGTTTCTTTTAGGGCGTTAATTCTAGCATTGATGGCGCATAACGTTAATTCTACTCCCCAGCAAACGGATGTAACTCAGGTTACTACTCTCACATTGTTCTCTAGAAATTGTCGAGAGGCAACCAACTAAAGGAGCTGGCAATAGGGGTGCCTTCCTTTTTTTTTCTCAACGCAAACCTCTACTCTTCGCATTATGTTTGCTTTCTTGATCTTTCTTGTAGGATTCAAATAGCATGTTTACGTGCACTTATTACTTGTGCTTTGCATAACAGCTAATGTCTTGCTATTTCATGCCAGTTGCACACAATGTTTCGTTTTAGGTGGCCAACGCGACTGCTTCAAGTGAACCGAAAGGAGAGAGGAAGCTGGTTGTTGTAGGCGAATTGATGCCAGTGAACACCCGTGTCAATGCCGTGTACCTGCGAGGTGCTGGAGAAGCATTGCGAAACGCCGTTGGATATTCTAGAATCTTGTTGCCAGCTATATCCGACGAGCTATGGGAAGGTGCTGTGAAATTCGAACTCCGCAAGATGCTTCAAAAGGCTACCGAAGATCCATAAACTCAAAGACTGTATTTCTCGCTTGATATCTTGTGTTCACACAGAAATGTCGTAAAGTCAGTGCACCTAACGCTTAATAAAACTGGCATGGTACCGCGTTCCTGTACCTAAGTGCAAGAAATATTTCATGGCATATTCATTTATTTTGGCAATGACTGAAACATTATATTAGCTTTACACTTGAAGCTCTTGCAGAAATGACGGGGATATACATATTCAGAAGATCTATGTTCAAGTCAGGGCATGCATAAAATAGATAATACGAGACAATACGTATACCTTAAAAAACGATCGCACAAACGCTACATAATTGTGCACTAAGAAATACGTGTTAGAAGATACATATTCAAAAGAACAGGTCTGGCGCTGAAGCGCACATAAGAACCACTCAGTAGATATGTGGTTTACATGAATTGTATAGACGCTACAAGAATGAAAAAGTAACACCAACAATGTCATGCCAGAACATTTAGCGTATAAAAAGTTGTATACAAAAATCCGACAAATCTTATTTTTGCTGCCTAAATTGCGCACTCCTGTAAATCATTGGTGTTAAACATCTAATACCTTACCAAAGCAATGTTTCTTGAAACACACCCACACCCACACACACACACACACACACACACACACACACACACACACATATATATATATATAATATATATATATACATTGTGGGCATTTGTTACTTACATCGTCCTCATCCCTGCATGATCACGATCACCATCATCAGCTTGTCTCTTTGTCCTCATTGCCACCCTGGGTCATCATCATCGTCATCGTCTGTGTACTGGCTCTGCCCGTTCGTCTGCGAGGTCTTTCCTCAATTAAACGCTGTCAAACGCTGAATTCAAACTGTTGGGACATCTATCGTACACCGCCGACCCTACCGCGTGTCTCTAGCTGAAAGAAAAATTATAGACGAAAACGTTGCGGACATGCTTAAACGGGAAATCATCCGTCCCTCATCTAGTCCTTGGTCGTCTCCTATTGTTTTGGTCCGCAAAAAGGATGGCTCTGTGCATTTTTGCGTGGACTACCAGGCGCTCAATAAGATCAAACGCAAGGACGTGTACCCTATGCCACGCATTGACGACGCCTTTGATCCCCTACAAGGCGCGGAATTTTTTTCAAGCATCGACTTGCGTTCTGGGTACTGGCAGATCCCCATGCATGAAGACGATAAGGAGAAAACGGCGTTTGCAACCCCAGACGGGCTATATGAATTCAACGTGATGCCTTTCGGGCTCTGCAACGCACCCGCGACTTTTGAGCGCATGATAGATACCGTGCTGCGTGGCCTGAAATGGAAAAGTTGCCTTTGCTACCTGGACGACATTATTATCTTTTCGTCAACGTTTCCTGAGCACCTAGAATGACGGGATCAAGTTCTGACATGCCTTGCCGGCGCCGGGCTTCAAATAAACACTGAGAAATGCTCTTTCGCTAGCAAATCTATCAAGGTCTTAGGACATGTCGTTAGCAAAGATGGCATCCGGCCCGACCCTGACAAGATTTCTGCAGTCCTTCACTTTCCGCGTCCCGAAAACCCAAGGAGCTTCGCAGTTTCCTAGGCCTCGTCTCCTATTTTCGCCGGTTTATCCAGAACTTCGCTTATATTGCTGCTCCATTACACCAACTACTCGCTTCGAACGTCCCCTTTCTGTAATTTCAAGAATGTCAAACGGCATTCGGGCTGTTGAAGCGGGCACTCACGTCTGAACATCTGCTCTGCCACTTTGACGAAGCCGCACCGACTATCCTTCATACCGACGCTAGTGGCCTTGGTATAGGAGCCGTTCTTCTACAGCGTGACAAGTCTTCCCTAGAGAAAGTTGTTGCATATGCCAGTCGCGTACTCACCCCTGCTAAAAAGAACTACACTATAACTGAGCAAGAGTGTTTGGCTGTGGTTTGGTCGGTCCAGAAGTTCCGTCCCTATCTCCACGGCCGTCACTTCACAATCATTACCGACCACCATGCTTTATGCTGGCTTTCTACACTGAAGAACTTGTCCGGACGCTTGGGTCAGTGGATACTACGCTTGCAGGAGTACGACTTTGACATAACTTACAAGTCAGGAAGAAAACATCAAGACGCCGATGCTTTATCTCGTTGCCCGCTTCCAACTACCCATATGAACGTTGGGGAGAACTCAACCGCCACATCTACCAAAGTTCATACGCTCGCATCAATAACGCAACCCCTTTCGGACGACGAGCCAACATTTGTTTCCCACCAGCGGTCCGATTCATACTGCAGACGCATGATGGACCACCTTTCGGGAGTGTCTCATCCACCAAACGCGTGACTCCGTCGTCAACCTGCACTTTAAGCTGGACAATGGGGTTCTCTACCGCCACGTGTACCACCCTGACGGTCAGCGCTGGGTTCCTGTACTGCCACGCTCTCTTCGACTTCAGGTGCTCGAAGCCTTCGACGACGACTTGACTGCTGGAATTCTTGATTTTAAAATAAACTCTTGACCGCATTCGATGCCGTTATTTCTGGCCTGGCCTTTCTTCTAGTGTAGCTCGGTACGTCGGTTCCTGCTACCCATGCCAGTGTCGTAAACTCCCCTCGGCTGCACCTGCTAAACCTCTACAGCCACTTCCGTGCCCTTCAATGCCTTTCGAGGTTGTAGGTGTTGACCTTTACGGGCCTCTCCCCGTCACATTTGCTGGCAAACGATGGATAGTGAACGTCGTTGACCACCTGACACGCTACGCTGAGACTTCCTTTGTTATTACAGGCTCAGCTGTGGAAGTTGGAGACTTTATTCTTCACGCCATAATCCTGCGTCATGGGGCTCCTCGTGTACTGCTTAGTGATCGCGGCAAAGTGTTCTTGTCACAAATGGTAAATGAAGTACTGCGCGCTTCTGGAACTACTCACAAGACAGCTTCAAGCTACCACCCTCAGACAAATGGTCTCACAGAAAGACTTCACCGAACCCTTGCAGACATGATAGCCGTTTACGTCCAACCCGACCCCAAAAACTGGGATACTCTTTTACCATTCCTGACATTCGCTTACAACACTGCCGTTCAGCGAACAAGGCTTGCAGTACCTCACGGCGAAGTGAAGAAGGAACGACGAGCAAGTAGCTGCTGCCGGTGGGTGAAAAGTTCCTCTTATAAAGAACGTCATTTCGCAAGCAGTACGACGGCAGCCCTCTCGCGAATAACTTCGGAACGCTATTCGTTCGCCCTTGTAGGTAATCTATAGCCCAAACTCCATAAGCGCGAAAATGCACGCGACAGCGACGAGCGACGCGACGTAGATCAGCGTCGCGCGATCAGTCGCTAGCGCAGGCAAACCTCATTCACGCGACGGCTTCGGCGAGCGAATTCCACTGTTGCTGGCATGAGGCCGTCAACTCGCACCAAGAAAACCGCGTAGCGAGCAGTTTCCAATTTAAAAATAAGATATATTGTTGTGTAATGGAATGGAAAGTGTTATTATTGCCTTGCAGCATTTTTATGTGCGCATGCGTAATAAACATTGCGTTATTTCTTGTTGCGCATACGTGACTCGGGCAGGGTAACGTGTACCTATGTGGTCTTGTCTTTTCCGGTTTTTCGCTATTGGCTGCTTGAGCCCAGCACTTCCGGGCGATGAGCGACGGTTTCCAAATCTGGAGAACCGAGTGATCGCGCGAAAATGAGCACGCGATACGTCGCGCGAACGCCCTGTTTCGTCGCTCATAGCATCGCTCGTCGCTGTCGCGTGCATTTTCGCGCTTATGGAGTTTGGGCTTATAAGTTGGTAGCAGCTCAGCATCGCCACGCTGCTGTGAGAAAAGGCGGCAGTGTCCACAATTCCGAGAAAGGCCGTGTCGTCATCGTCTCTGCCCGGGGACGCCGTCTCAACAGGAGACCAAGAAAGGCAGTCGGCATCGGTGTGTCGTTTCCGACTTGTAGGCAACAGTGAAGTCAAATTCTTGGAGCCGATGACTCCATCGTGCAAGGTGGCCAGACGGATCTTTCAAGTTGACTAATGAACAGAGAGAGTGGTGATCACTGATAACGGTGAATGGGCAGCAGTACAAATAGGACGAAACTTCAGGACTGCCATACCATAGCAAGACATTCATTTTCCGTCGTAGTGTAATTAGCTTCATCTCGGGACAGCGTCCTGGCTGACGTAGGCGATCACGTTTTCGTCGTTGTCCTTCGACTGTACGAGCACTGCTCTAAGACCCACATTACTAGCGTCTGCATTAAGTATTGTTGGCGCGTCTTCATCGAAGTGGGCCAACACGGGGGGTGTTTGCATGCGCTGACGAAGCTCGTGAAATGCCTGCTGTTGGTCTTCGCCCCATCTGAAGGGGGTATCTTCCCGAGTAAGCTGTGTCAATGGCGATGCGATGCGCGAAAATTAGCAATAAACCGCCGGTATAGGCCACAGAGTCTAAAAAACGACGCACTGATTTTTGTCTGATGGCGTCGGGAAGTTTGCCACAGCGGCAATTTTATCCGGGTCGGATCCTTGGCTGCTCACGACGTGACCGAAGACACTCACACTGCTTCGTTGTCCTCACCCACTGGCCACATACGCGCGGCTAGATTATATATAGATATATATATATATATATATATATATATATATATATATATATATATATATATATATATATATATATATATATATATATATGATAGTACACCTTTAGTGGTGAGCAGAAGAGACGTTTACTTTGTGGAAAACGTAGCGGTAGAACCGACCAGCTGTCAAGCGGAGCGAGCGCGAGCAGCAACAACACTCTTCCTTCTCTTCTTCAGCTGGCGTTCCGGCCTGTGCCAAATATCAATGCTACAAATCACTCCCCCCTCAGAAAAGGAGCCATCCTGGCGACCTATGGAACGGGTACGACGGGTGGGTCGTAGTGCGGCTTCAATCGATCTACGTGAACAGTCTCGCGGCCTCGATGCCGTCGGTCTGTTGATGGTTGAACCGGCTCAACAATATAGTTAACCGGTGAGGCCTGACGTAGGACTCGGTAGGGGCCTTCGTACTTCGGCAGTAGCTTGGTGGAAAGACCAGGAACAGATGAGGGAACCCGAAGCCATACCAAGGCGCCAGGC